TCGCCTTCCGTGCTGGGCGGGTGACCCAGCGTGGCACTGCGCACCTCCAGGGTTCCTTGTGCTGCCGCCGGCGGCTGCGGGGCGATGGGGAGGGTGTCGCTCCGACCGGGACCCAGCGTCCACTCTCGAGAGCCGCGGGGAGAGAGGAGGGAGAAGTGCCCGGGGAAGGAGCACGGCAAGATGCTTGATGCACAGCGGGGGCACCCACCGCAGGACTGGGGGGAGCTGGAGCCCCTGGATGCACTGGTGGACAAGCTCCCCATCCCAGCGTCCCTCTCCCCAGGCACCACTGGGGTGCAGGGGGCTGCCCCCAGGTCCCAGCATGCCCACCGCCCCCCACCAGTGCCAGCGAGGACGCCAGTCCCACATCCCTGCCCACAGCGAGCATCAGAGCATCCCCAGGCTGCGCCACCGGCAAAGAAGGGACTGGGGACCGGCCACGGCGCTGCGCTGTCCTCTCCCACCCGCCGGCCGCCCTGCTGCCGGGAGGTGCAGGCAGGGGCGCGGGGCTCACATGATGGTGCAGGAAGACAGCGGGTTTCGGATGTGGCAGGTGCAGGCAGCCCCGCAGTACTGGCGAAAGGTCTGGTAGCAGCTGCGGTCGGTGTCGCTGCTCCACTGGACGGGGTTGGCGGCCAGGGCCTCGGCCGGCAGTCTGTTGAGGATACTGGTGTTGACGGCCAGCGCCGCCAGCCCGTAGTCGGTGAAGAGGACGGTCTCCCGCTTGCAGGTGGGGCAGGAGATGAACTTGTACTTGGGGCAGGACTCATAGAGGATCTGCAGGCACTCCTCGCACACCGAGTGCAGGCAGGAAAGGATGCGGGGCCGCTTGTTGGTGAAGTTGTACATGTGGCCGCAGGTGGGGCACTCGAGGGGCTCGCAGGGTGTCGAGGGGTGCAGCACGTACTGGTTGACGATCACCTCGTCTGACGGCGGCTGCCGGTGGTAGCAGACCTCCGAGCTGCCCTTCCGCTGGCTCTGGTACCCGCGCTCTCGCCGCGGCAGGGGGGGAGTCCGGGGCAGCGGCAGGGGGCCGGGGGTGGCATCCAAGGCGGGGATGTCCCCGCACGCCTGGTTGACGATGATCTCGGACTCGGAGGGCCAAGCACGCTTGGCCACGAGGGGCGGCTCGCGGCGCGGGGCCGGCGCGTAGCGCGGCTGCGAGGCCTGCAGCTCCGAAAACTTCTCCGGGTGGATGATTTTCATCGCCTCCATTTTAATGATGACTTGTTGCCCTTTCAGACACGACATGAGTATTGTTTTCACATTACTGTCCACTGCTCTGGGGTCTCCGAGGGACGCCTGCATGAGGCTAAAACATGCCGGCAGCTTGCTGAGCTTTCAATCTCGGTCTGACTGCGGAGCAGGAGCACGGGGAGCAGCCGCTGGCGCGGGAGAGCATCCTGGGGAGACGGGGCAGCGCCAGCGGGCCCCGCGCCCCTCTTCTCCGGCCAGCCCCGAGGGCGCGGGGCGCGAGGCCGGGATGAGCAGGGGGAGGCAGGGCTCACAGCGGCATCCTGCCTGCCTTGGAGGATGCTCTCGGGCGGGCGATCAAAGCGTCGGCTCCGCACAGCGCCTCGCCGGGATGTTAACGTGACATTGGCTGTCACTCGGCAGCCCCCCCTTCGCCTTCGCTGGCGCTTCCCGCGCCGGATCAGCTGCAGTCAGGGACGGTCAGTTGGGAACCGTGGCGCCGAGCGCTGCTCGGGGCAGGTGAGTCTGGGGGGGTCTTGCCGGAACCAGGGGCAGCCCCTACCTCGCCCCGGCCCCCGCCTCCACCCAGCCTTTATTCCTGTTTACGTGCCGTGGGATCCTCGTGGCGCTGAAGAATGTGTTTGCAAATTCCTTGGCTCTGACTTCCCGGCTCTGCACGGTCAGTTGGGAACCGTGGCGCCGAGCGCTGCTCGGGGCAGGTGAGTCTGGGGGGGTCTTGCCGGAACCAGGGGCAGCCCCTACCTCGCCCCGGCCCCCGCCTCCACCCAGCCTTTATTCCTGTTTACGTGCCGTGGGATCCTCGTGGCGCTGAAGAATGTGTTTGCAAATTCCTTGGCTCTGACTTCCCGGCTCTGCCACTTGCTGTCGCTGGCAGCTCCCGCGGGGCAGGGGCTCAGGGAGCATCCCACGCCGGAGGGCAGCTCACCTTGGCTGGTGCCGGGGCTGCCACGCGCCTTGTCCCTTCCGTCCCCGGCACCTCTGTCCCCAGCTCAGCTTCGTGCTCGCTGGAAATGAAAAGCGAGAGGGGGTTGGATCCAAGGCTCTTCGGGGATCTACTGGCTGCCAGCGCTCCCTCGGGATGCGTGCCTGCCTTCATCCTGGCAATTTGGCAACTGAGCCCTGCAGGTCCTGTCCATCCGCCCGCGTGTTTGGGCCGGCGGGAGCGGGAGCAGGCAGGTATTTCCCCCCAGGCATCTCCTCGGCAGCCCCGAGCATGGGGTCCCGGGTCCCCCCTCCGTGCTGGGGGCCGGGAGGGCAGGTCCCCCTGCACCCTGCTGGGATGCAGGGCCCCTCCTGGGGGGGCTCCCCCACCGACCTGCCTCTGCTCAGGGTTTTCTCTCACGTTTAGCCCCTCCTCTGCTCAGTGGATCTATTTTTACCTCCATCGCTTGCTCCTGATCTGTCCCTGCTATTATCCCGCCCTCCAGCTTCCTCTCCCCCTTCCCAGCTCCCTGCCCTTGTCCCGGGGCTGCTGGAGAGGACAGGCCACGTTTGGGGGCAGGAGATGGGGGGCAGGCAGCCAACCCGTGGCCATTTTCTCCCTCAGCAGCCCCGGCGACAGCCTGCCTCTCCTCCGAGAAGGGCGAAGGCGCTCTTCTCCATCACGCTGCAAATCCTGTTAGAGGGATGCCTGCTCCTGCCGAGCCCTGCCAGGCCTGACGGAGGGGGCCCGAGGGGGCCATCTGCTTGCAGCAGCAGCCCTTGGGGACGACGAGAGGCCGCGGGGGGTTCAGCCCTGGATGCCCGAGAGCCGTGGGGGGCCGGATCCTTGCCCGACCCCAGTGGGGGTGTCCCCGGGGACCATGCCCTGGCGGCACTGGGGTCCTGCAAGCATCCTGCGATGCCTGCCCTGGGGAGGGAGGTCTCACGTCCCGCATCCCCCATCACGGGCCCACATCCTGCACCCCACATCCTGCACCCCGCACCCCACAAGCAGTGCATATCCCGCCCCGTGCACAGCAGCAGCCCCGGGGGCCCTCTGCCCGCAGGTCTCGCGCAGACACTCACCCGCAACGCGCCAACGGGCACGGCGATCCGTGCGGCCAGGCAGCCGCCGCGCACAACCACCGCGTTTCCACGCTCACACCCCTTCGTGCACCGCCCTGGCGCAGCGCCCCGCCGTACCCCGCATCCCCAGCACCCCTCCACGACCCGCAGCATCCACCCCCCGGTGACCTCCCACCGCGACCCCCGGCCCCACGCACCCTGGCCCACGTCGCTCTGCCGCGCTGGCGGCCCAGCGGTGCACACACATGTGCACACCCGCACACACACACACGTCCTCACGCCCGCGCCTGCGCGCCCGCAGGGTGATGCCCTCCGGGCAGCCCGGCCAAAAGGACGGTCGCTGCCGGTCGTTTACCTGCATTGGCCCGCCGTGCCTCGGACGGGGGATCCCGGTGTGGCCGTGTCTCCAACTGAGCCTCCAGACCCCCGCTCCGTCCCCGGTGAAGGTTTGGAGGCCCAAGCGGCTAAAGGTTATCTGAAAGGCAGAGGGATGCGGGCGCTGCCCGTGCGAAGTGCCGGCCCCCCGAGGATGCTGGCGGGTCTCCACC